ATAGGCCCTCAATATATAGTATCTCAATGCCTCTCAACCATCTTTCTCTTTCTTCCTTGATTTGTTTATGTGTTTGCTCATTTATGTTTGCCAGTAAAAAAAAAAAAAAAAAAAAAAAAAAAATAGAGGGAAATCTAAATGGAAGAAGTGAGTTTTGCAATAACAAACAAAGGTAGTTCAAGGGAATAATTAATGTAAAATATTAAATAAGTCCTTGTTACCTTATAGCCAGAATACTGTCCATAAATAAGATGTTCAATCTGGCTAAACTAATTGTTTACTGAAGTAACTTACAATAATATAAAAATAACGAGGCAGCAAGGGAGTAATAAAACTATTAAAGCAATAAACCTAAAAGCAGATAAAACTATGATTATTCTGATCATACTCTTGCATATTTCCCTAGATTATCACATTACACTCCAGTCTAAATTAATGCCTTTCAAACAGCCACCTCCTAGGGTAGTAAGGGATAATCTCATCTGCACTATTTCCCAAGGCAGTCAACAAGATATGGTAATAAGAACAGAAATAGTAATGTATTTACATGCTAAATAAAATTTCCTGAGCCCAAGTTTTCCATTTCACAACAAGCAGTCACACAGCTTCTCTCATCAGGTTACTACTAGTGACTGGGAAGGCTTGATTTGGCACAGCTCGTACTCATGGCAATTTCTTATGAAAACAAAGTCATTCTTCATTGTATATATTTGCTTTTGCTCCATTTCATGATTTGATGTGCTGTCAGATGGCATTTGCTCTGTACTGTAAGTCAAGTTATTTTGTGTAACACTTACATTTTTTTTCCCTAAAAGAAAATCGGGTCCAAATATATTAGCAAATTGAAATGAAGAGAATGTATATTATTGTACAACATAGTCTCAGTTAGGCTCTCTCCAGCACTATTTGCTATAGATTTTCACTTGTCTAAAGATGCTACACTCTCATTGGTTAGCTTAAAAAAAGTCTGTCCAAAACTAAAATAATGTATGAAAAATAAAAGGCAATGATGACACAAATAATTCAATACAGAGGATATTAAAAGTTCAACTCATTCAAAAAACAATGAGTCTCAGAGCTACCTAGATAATAATATTAAAAGGAGAGAATGTCTGAGGTGTCAGCCAGGAAAAGGGACCCAGCAAACTCACTCTGTCTTTCTATGGTGTCACACTACAGTGTCTCAGGGATTGATCGTGAAAGGTGCGGCACTCCGATCAGATTCCATGAGAATCAAGGATGCTCAGCATTTCATAAAAATGCACCCTGAAAGTGTGAGGGAAAGGTCCTGATGATAAACGAGAGGAGGGAGCTATCTGAGGTCTCCTCACCAAAATCCCTGATTTCCTGTAGGATGAGAAGGAGTTGCCTGGAGGGAGCAATACTTCTTTATGTAGAGCTATACTATGACTTGACTGATATGTCTGTACAAGGGAATAATGTGAGTTAAGATATCCCCTTATATCTCTACATGGGCTACTTGGACTTTAGGTGGGTCTGAGTGCACAGCAGTAAGCAAGTGCTATGTGCTCAGTTATTCCCTCCTCAGAGCAAGTGGGCTGGATGTGGAATGGGTGGAGCCTTTGTTCTACCTCATCTACTCAAAGGTCAGAACAGCTGAGAGATTCAGGGTGGTCATGGGCTGATATAGTATTTGGAATTACTTTACATAATGTTGAATATTCCTGTATGAGTTTAGTTTATGGTTTCATTGTGATATTTCAACCCTTTGCCATTAAAATCTCACCCTTAATGTGACATTAGACAATTTGCTGAATTTAAAAAAGAAATATGCTAATATTGTACCGAGGAATGAAAGTCTTTTCCTTTTAGTAACACCAACATTCATTTTAAATCTAGTACTCATCAAAAATTGCAAAATAATAACTGTCTTAAAATTTAGCCTTTGATGTCTTTGCATGTTCTCTTGTAAAACTGATTTGTATTCGTTTTATTTAGTTTTTAAGGTCTCATACACAGCATATATTCACAACGTAATAATATGTTTACTTGCAGTATATTATTAAGTCACTAGATGTGCCTATGTACTGCATCAGAATTCCTGGCAGGCTCTGATTTCTGGTAAAATCAAATATATCTGACAGAATTACTCATTCAGGTCCCAACTCAGCAAGGCACTAAACACTTGATTAAGTTTACGCCCATGGTAATATAACCAACTGAATCAGGGCCTCAGCTGATATCTTAAGGGCCTGTTTTTTTCAGAAGTTCTGAGTGCACACAACTCTGGTTGAAATTAATAGGAACTGTGGGTGCTCAACACCTCTGAAAACCAATCTCTTAATGCACAAGCCAAGGCTGATGTGTGTGTTTGGGAAAATACAATTTGTGGGGTTGGCTAAGGTTTACGTGTGAAAGAGACATGATTTAGAGACCTGATAGAAATCCCATTGAAGTCAATGGGAGTCAGTCTTTCCATAGAGTGAAGAAAACATTAATTGAGAGCTCATTTCTGCCACTCATACTAAGTAGTATATTGCTCTGCAAACAGTTCACTGGAAATCAATAGGACCGGTCCTGGTGTAATACATTACTGCATGTGAGAGTCAGGTCTTGAGAATACATATTCACAATGTGTCGCAAAATCAAAAATAAGATTCAACGAATATTATTTGAACAGTTCCAGGCACTAAGTGCTTGATTCCTCTGGCTCTCTGGGGACAGTGAAAATGGGTATACAATTCACACAACACTTCTTTTGGCTATGCACATCCCTACTGTGAAGCCCATAATTGATACCAGAGGTTGTCATAGCAAAGTACAAAAATATATGTTGCCACAGAAGTAGTTATTAGCGACTTTAAGGAATTGGAGCTAGTACAAATGCCTCAACAAAGTCAGCAAACAAAATCAATTTTTTTGAGTTATTCAAGAATTTACAAATGTTTCATGAACAGGGGGAGGGATAGCTCAGTGGTTTGAGCATTGGCCTCCTAACCCCAGGGTTGTGAGTTCAATTCTTGAGGGGGCCATTTAGGAATCTGGGGAAAAGAATTAGGGATTGGTCCTGCTTTGAGCAGGGGGTTGAACTACATGACCTCCTAAGGTCCCTTCCAACCCTGATATTCTATGATAAATAATAAGAACCCAGTTTCTCCAAAATTGTGCTTCCTTTCTGAAATACAAGTTTTTTCAGCTTTTTAAAATTTGCTCTTCCTTATCTAATTTTGATTTTTTTCAACACTTAGAGCTTTAGCTCTGTGGTATATTTGCCCTGTGTTGTTAAATCGGTCAAGTAATAAGATATGACAATATGAATCAGGTGGTTATGAAATAATCACTCTCAACAAAAGGGCTGAGAATGAAGTATAGCCAAGTGTCCTTCATGCTAATGAATGTAATTACTTTACAGTGACTATTCTGTTTGGAGCTTTACACCATTGTAATAAAGACCAAGTTGCATGAAAAATATATTGATATGTGTACTATCTGTAAAGACGTAGGCCTATGCATAATGTGTGTGTGGGGGTGCACGCACTCAGATGGCTGTGTTATAGCAGATCACCCTAGAAAGAGTCTATCAGTATTTCATTATAAATCCATACGTTAAGGGGTCTGTGATCAGCTGTTTAAATGTATTCCTGCAAGAACTTAAACACAAAGACAGATCCTCAGCTGGTGTAAATCAACATACTTGACTTGGACAAGCTGAGGATCTGGATGACAAGATCTTAGGCCAAGAGTACTAAATTTATTTCTAGCTGGTGATGACTTAAAATGTTTATTTATCTCTCTATAACTCAAGCAGAAGTGTGATTAAAATAATGAAATGATCTAAATAGCAATATATTGATAACAATAAATACATATCACCTACATAGTCCCTTTCATCTGAGGGTCCCAAATTGTTTTACCAACATAGACCTTGATCCTGCAAAGACTAATCATGTGTGTAACTTTACAATTTGTGAATAGCCCCACTGACTCTAAGTGGACTGCTCACAGGACAAAGCAAGCATGTGTCTAAGAGCTTGTCTACACAGGGAAATTGACCGGAACAGCTAATGTGGAATCCATTATTCCTCAATAGCTCCCCATGTAGATACTTTTATTCCAGAATAAGAGTGACTCTTCCTGATTTTTCTTAATCTGCTTTACAGATTTACAGGCATGTATTTATTCTGCAAAACAGAATAAGCTAAATTAGGAAAAGGCACTTTTATTCCAAAATGAGAATTTCCACATTGGGTGCTAGTCCAGTCAATGTCCTCTTAAAGGCAAGTCTTAAGTCTTTGTGGGATTAGGGCCTTAGCATCAGATGTTGCAATCAGCCAGACCCTTGTTCACATATAAAGCTCCACCAACTTCAGTGGGACTCCACCTGGGTGCAAGGAACTTCCTGTGATGTTCTAATTACAGAAAAGGAGCTAATGGTCCTCAACACCTCTGCAAAGAAAGTAATATAGAACAGTGACTTTCTATGTATACAGAATGCTTTGCATACAATTAATAGGGAGAACAGATAGCTCAGTGGTTTGAGCATTGGCCTATTAAACCCAGGGTTGTGAGTTCAATCCTTGAATGTGCCATTTAGGGATCTGGGGCAAAAATTGGGGACTGGTCCTGTTTTGAGCAGGGTGTTGGACTAGATGACCTCCTGAAGTCCCTTCCAACCCTGATATTATACAATTCTAATACAAATGGCAGAGATAGTGAGGTTTAAGTTCAAAAGAAGCTTTTTTTTTATGGGAACAGTGATTACTTTTTCATATGGAAGAGCTGAGGAAAAAAAAAAGCACTTCAAAAAGATGAACCCTAAATATTTGATTTCAGTTTTCCTTATGTGAAGCTACAAAATTCATTTGGGACTTGGATCTTTTAGGAACCCTTTGACCAACCATTTTGTTTAAATAGCACATACAGCAAACATATGTGTTTCATAATACTAAATAGTAACAAAATTCTTTTTAATAGCCAGTGGAACAAGTCATAGTCTATTTTTCTTTTTCCAGCTAATACAGTATTTTGAAACCACTTACAAGAATCTTGTTCCTGTTCTCCCGAGATCAAATCCTCAATTATCAGGCACAGACAGAAGGTCCTCTACTTTTGGGGACTATTTTGATTCTTTATCTGAAAGAGAAATCAGAGGAATGATTATATAGTACCAATACTGTATATAATACAGCATTCGTGTTTTTGATTTTACTGTACATGGTTACTTATTCTGTGCATTTCATAGTTGGATGCTTTGACTAAATCAACTTGCTTTGGATTGATGTGAATATCAACTTTTAATATCAGCTCTACTCATCTGTTTTTATTCATATTTTAGTTTTGTGTGGGAAAGACCTTCTAAACAGATTATGTTAATGATATCATTTTTGTAGTTTGCAATCCAATTCATATTTATAAATCTGGACTTCCTTTTACTAGATCTTTCTCCTTTAAAAAAATAAAAAGTCATTTGGGAACTTAGGAGTTTTTAATTGATTTTGGTGAAAGCTGTGCTGAAACATTAGTCAAATCTTCATTATCAGAACAGTAGAAGAGAGCTGAAGGTAATTTGTGCTTATGTAATATATATGACAGATTGTTTTCCTTTCTGGAACGCTACTCTGAGATGATTTGTTCTAGTTGAGTCCCATGGTATACAGAAGTTCACCTGAACTAAAGATATATTTGTGACAATGGGTCAGATCCTGGAGACTCGCCAAACTGTACATAGCACAGGGGATGTGCACAAAGGTGACGTAAAACTCATATTTGCACTCCCTTGCTTGTGTGTGCACAGTAATCCTGCGTAAATTTGAGCAACCTGATGGCTGCATGCTAATATTTATGCTGCATGCTAAAGGCCCTAAAAGGTATATACCACAGCTGAAGGTCACCCTTGTGTTAGGATGTCTCAATCATGCCCCACGTGTAAGTAACAGGTAGGGGAGGTGGCACAAGAGTTTCTACACCAGCTTTACACAAAGAGGATCCCCCATGCAATGAAATGAATCACTTGCAGTGAGATAAACTAGCTTTATATCTATTGTTACCTCCTTTTGACCCAACCAGCTAGCCAAAAAATGGGGTCTAGTAGGTTGTTCCAGTTAGGAGGAGAAACTGGTGATAATCAGATATTTATTTAATATGCTTTTGTTTATTTACAAAAGAAGTACAAAGTCCTATGTCTCTGAACACAGAAGGAATGAAATAGCAGAAAACAGCTTCTTGTGAACCCAGCACCAAGAATACTCTTTTCAGCCTACACCCTGACCCAAAAATCTCTCCCCATTTCTTCTTCTGGAATCAGCCACTATACTTTCAGTTGCTCCTTCAGGCTGTCTCTCTCGGTCTCTCTCTGACTTTAAGTTTTTGTTGTCCTGTCTTCCCCGCCACAAACATCCTACCCAAAAACAATACTCAGAAAAAGCTCCTCAGCCGGTTCACATACTCCTTTTATCTTAGGTGGGGGCTTATCCTTACAGTTATGTTAACTGAAGGGTGAGTTCACACCTTTCAATCTCCATGAGGTTTTAACTCAATCCATAACAAGTTTTCTGCCAGCGCATTACACTATTTTCCTCCCACTGGCACACAACACCAAAGGATTTGGACAAATGTGTGCAGTTGCAATGGCCACTAACTATGCCAAATGTTCAAAAGGGCCTCAATCAAACCTCTAATTTTGCTCCTGCAATTTTAAATGAAGGATTATCACATAGTGGAGCAGTGGATTTGCTCTTCTCATCTCTTTTAATAAACAATAGCTTATCTCTGAGTGATGGATTAACAACAATAGGCCTCATGAAAAAACTGTATTTTGTGGAGACTTTGAAAAAGGATAAACTGGATGTGTGCTGAAAAGGGCTATGGCATTGTCAGAGATGGGTGGAGAAGTTCAACTTTTCTGTTAAGAAATGCTTTAAAAAAGCCAATTTTAAAATAGTTTGTTTCAGGTGCCTATGAAGGACCTGATCCAAGCCCTATAGAAGTCAATGGGGGGGGGGGGGGGAGGGGGATGTCCCTTTGACTTCAATGGGCTTTGGACCACACTGCTCACTGATGGTCTTCAGTTTTTAGACTCATCAGCCAAGAGTTAATCTTCCCAAAGCAATTTATGAACAATAATGAAATATCCTATTTTTTCCTCTCAAGCTGCTTCAAATTTTCCCTTTGTTTCTTTGAGGTCTCAGTGAAATTGGATCATTTATTTATCTCTAAATTCATTCCTAAACTAAATTATTTGTGTTCGTTATTACTTTTTTATGAGAAGGAATTTTCACTGTATATTGTTCCACCAACAATCTATTAAGCTTAGGGTAAACACTGAAAATGAATCAAGAGCAAATTGAGACTGCTGATGATTTACTGAATGTGTAGCTTCTTCAAATATCTCTCTTCCTAAGCAGGGCAAAGAGGCCCAGCTCTTTGCAGTTAATTATTATAACACTTTAACTTCCTATAAACTTCAAAGTGGGCAGACAATATAAATGTAGAACTGATAACTCCAAGGAACATGAAACTCACCTCATTTAAAAAAGCCTACCTGTCTCACTCCAGAAAAGGGAACTTTAATATCCTCAATCAGCCTCAGCTGTATCTATCCAGTTTACATCCTTGACATAGATAGAGAAATATATACACACATGTGTGAGAGCGAGTGAGCACAAAATAGTGATGGGAAGTGTGACGGGTTGCCCCCGCCCCTCTAGGGTGCCACCTGTGGCCTGGGGGACTACTCTCACACTTAAAACCCAGCACATTCTCAAGCACGTTGCTGAATGGGTACCATGGTTAGTATAGAGTTCATATCTGGAGCCCTCACTTTGTTAGTGCTATACTGAATATTAAAAACATTCAAATCTAGCTGAAGGGAATGGGAAGCTGGGGTGACATTCTGAGTACAGGAGCCACTCAGAGAAGTAAAGTTACAGAGAAAAATAGCAGCACTCTGACTGGCTATCAGCCAAGTAGAATACTGGGATTCACACAGTCCAGTGACTGAGAAATAACTGCATTGTGGTTATGTATATGAGATGCCCACCACTAGTCAGAACGCTGGGAACTGCGTTGCTGCGGGAGAAAAAAACCCTGTCGTTATTCAACAGTAACAGTACATCTCTGTACTCTGACTGCATGAGCCACTTCCACTGCAGTAAAGTAGGATATATATTTTATGCTCTCAATATAGATTGAAGGGATAGTGAAAGTGGGTTTAAGAATTGTTGTCTGTGATTGGGAAAATGCCACAGGAGGCTCATATTGCCTTTGGGGTGATCTGTAGGCTGAGTGGAGGGCCTTAATGTAACATTCTATTGACATTGTTTTATTTAAATTGTGTAATCTTCCTAGAACCTGGGATAGGTGCAGTGAAAAACTCTGAATAAGTGAATAAAAATAAATATGGTATAAATGTTTTATAGGAGTAGATTGCACTTCCACACCTACTTTATTTACATTAAACAAGCTATATGCTGACTTTTCCTATTCAGCCAGCACAGTATTTTCCCTAGAGAGGAGCAAAGAGCTACACATTTACCTGTTGCTGATTACATTGTTTACACACAGCAGCAGTTGACATGGCTGCAAACCAGCAACAATTAAAATGAATCCCCACATTTTATACCTTGTTTTAAATCTAGAAAATAAATCTAGATTAAAGATTACAAGGATGCTTCTCTCACAAGAAAGTTCATGTGTAGCTATGAAAGATGCTCTTTAAGCATTATAATTACTATTTTTAAAACACCCACCCTGTACATTTGTACTCCCTGCTGACTCCTTCTCTATCTCATTGGCACATATTAAATGAATATATCTCATAAAAAGAAAAAGAGTGAGCTACAGGAAAATTCAATAGGTTAGACCCATAAAGGGATTTAGGTGCCGAAGTCCAAAAATTAGATACCCAAAGCTCCTGCTCAGCTACAACCTGACCCTGTAGGCACCTAAATTCCCAAGAGACCTTAGGGGTCTTTAGTGATAGAAACTAAGTGCCAAAAATTGTGTCAGTAGGCATATTAACAGCACCCAGTTCCTGACACTTATCTTATACCTACACCCTGTCTATGGTGGGATCTTCAACTAACTGTTTTACCACCTAGCTCACCTGTGGGGCCTAAGCCAGTAGGCAGCCTCTGAGAATGCCTACCGATTGGGATTCGAACAAAAACACCAGAGGATGAAAGGCTGCCTCCCTTATAACCTTTAGCACAGTGGGTAGAGCATTCATTCAGGATGCAGGAGACTCAGGTTCCAATCCCTATCTGCCTAATGTGGGATTTGAACCCACCTCTCACAGGAGTGCCCTACCCACTGGGCTATCAGATTTCTCTCACTCTAGCCCAGTGGTCCCCAACCTTTCTGTGGGAATAGCACATTCGTATTCCCAACAGACTGTGGCGGGCGCCAAACACCCCGCCGCCGAAATGCCGCCGAGAAGCGGCAATGGTTCTCTGCGGCATTTTGGCGGGCGGTTCTCAGGTGGCCGCGCTCAGCGGCGGCATTGCGCTCGCGGGCACCGCGTTGGGGACCTCTGCTCTAGCCTATTGAAGCTGTTCCACTCCATATAAATAATTAAACATTTACTGAGCCAAAGAGCAAGTGATAAAGATTCCATGGTCCAGTGGTTAGGGCACTTCTGTGAGAGACATGGGTTTAAATCACTGTTGTGATGACTAATTATTTATACAAAATGTAACCGCTTCAACAGGAGACACAGAGTCCTACCCCAGAATATCCTATATCCCAGTCATTAGGGCACTCAAAACCCTTCTTTACATCATGCAGAGGGCAGATTTGAACCCAGGTCTCCCTCATCCTATGTGAGTGCTCTGACCACTGGACTACAGAATATAAGGGGGACACAGATACTACCTCTTTTTTTTTTTTTTTTGTAAGAAAGGCACCTAACTCCAGAAAAGGGTTTGCAACTTTGGGTATGTCTACACTACCTGCCAAATCGGCGGGCAGCGATCGATCCAGCAGGGATCGATTTATTGCATATAAACATGATAAATCAACTCCTGAGCGCTCTCCCATTGACTCCTGTACTCCACCGCTGTGAGAGGTGCAGGCAGAGTTGACGGGAGCGGCAGCAGTCGACTCACCGCGGTGAAGGCACCACAATAAGTTGATCTAA